CTATCTAGTTTCAAAGCATTTTCATCATCCCCAAAGGAATCTGTACCCATCAAGCCTTGCTCCCTGGCTTTCCCGGCCCCTTGTACTCCTGGCAACCACCAATCTGCAATCTGTTTTAATCAGATTAACCTTTTATGGGCATTTTTATGCAATATATAACCTTTTGTGTCTGGCTTCCTTCAGGTAGCATGATATTATCCAGGTTCATCCATATTATAGCATGTATCAGCACTTCTCTCCTTTTCATGACTGAATAGTCTATGGTGTATACATACTACTCTTTGTTTATCCATTCACCCACTGATGGAGTTCCCCTCTTTTTTCACCAGACTGTAGACTTGTCTATCTCATCAATGAGTGTTTAGAACAGAACCTGCCATATAGTGAGTGCTCAATACATGTTTACTCCACCAGTGACTGAGGGAATGATAAACACTAGTAGTTAAGGGACATGTATAGAAGGGAGAACCTTGGAAGCAGACTGGGAAAGAGTGATCAGAAAGGCAATGGAAGAATCAGTGGAGAATAGTGTCTTAGAAGTCAGAGAATATGCTATCAAGAGAAAAAGATTAAGGATGATGAGTTCTTTAAACTGTTTATTTAATTAACAACAAGGATGTCATTGGTGTCCGAGCAGGAACAGCACTGATGCAGAATAAAGAATGCAACAGTGGATGGAAGTCACTGGACTCAGAATGGCAGTCTGGGCCATGTCTTTCAGAAGCCTCCAGGGCTGCCATAACAGCCAAAGTTCCCCGTGCCCAGACCTACAACAGTAGAGAATTTTCCTTCCTGGATGACTCTGTAGTTATGAGCTCCTCAAGTAATAATGTAGAATTTTAGAGGTGGAAAGAAATCCAGTGTTCATTAAGTTATACAATAGACACTCTTGCATGTCTTTTATGTGCCTACCAGTGCCAGCCATTATTTTAGGTGCTAGGGTTAAAACAGTAAGCAAAAATAGAAAAAAATGCTACTTTAATGGAGTTTAAATTCTAGAGGAAAGAGGCAAACAAAATATGTTATAAAAAAGTGCTATGGATAAAACAAAAAAACAGAATATGGTGAGGGAGGTGCTACTGTAGGGTAGTTTCTCAGGTGCTTCTGATGAGATGATACTTAAGCAGAAACTAATTATCCTAAAGTCACCTGATATTGGAACAGTGAAGTCACATCACGTGCATGCTCAGTCATGTCCGACTCTTCGTGACCCCATGGTCTATAGCCCACCTGGCTCTTCTGTCCAGGGAATTTTTTAGGCAAGAATACTGAAGTGAGTTGTAATGAAGCCTTTGGCAATTTATCACTTTTCTCCCCCTCTTGCTGGGTTGGAGTATGTGTTTACTTTGGAGTCCTTAAAAAGAGTTTTGTTGATACAGAACTTGCTCTTGGAGGTTCCCTTAGCTTAAATGAAGAAGTTTATTTACTTCATTGTTATGGAATTTTATTCTGTTCAGATAATTTTGGCATTTTATGTTGAGATGAAACAAAAGAGCATTGCTGGGCTTTCAGTTCAGTTCAGTTCAGTTGCTCAGTCATGTCTGACTCTTTGCGATCCCAGAGACTGCAGCATGCCAGGCTTCCCTGTCCATCACCAACTCCCGGAGTTTAGCCAAACTCTGTCTATTGAGTCGGTGATGCCATCCAACCATCTCATCCTCTGTCATCCCCTTCTTCTCCTGCCCTCAATCTTTCCCAGCATCAGGGTCTTTTCCAATGAGTCAGCTCTTCGCATCAGGTGGCCAAAGTATTGGAGTCCCAGCTTCAGCACCAGTCCTTCCAGTGAACACCCAGGATTGATCTCCTTTAGGATGGACTGGTTGAGATCTCTAAAACTTTCAGAGTTGATGGTTTTAAGTCTTCCTCTTCCACAACAGCTTAACTACTTCTTACTATCAGCAGCTTACTTCTTACTTACCAACAGCTTCTTACTACCAGCCTCTCCCAAAGTAGCTGACAGATTCCAGAAAGGCAAAGAAGTGTTCATGGCACGCCTTGACCAGCTCAAACATTTTCTGTTTTTTTTTTTGTTTGTTGTTGATATTGTTGTTTGTTTTTATCATTTGTACCCAATATTGGTATATCATGGACAGGCAGTGAAAAATTACATAATATACTTTGAATACAAGTGAAGGTAACTGCAAGAGCACTACTAGTTTCTGAGGTAAAAAAACCTACATATCTTTGAAAAATGTGATTATGTTCAATAAATCAAATCACAAGGTAGAAAATTTCAGCAAAGAACTGGAAACTAAAAAAAAAAAAATCAAATGAAAATTCAGGAACAGAAAAAGAAGTTAACCTACAGTATGCGGCCACTTGCTCAAGGCTGGGAGCAGTGGCTCTTTATGCACAGACAACAACACAGGAAAGAGAGTAGGGTGCGGAAGTTAAAACTTTTCCCACCTGTTTTACGAGGACAGCATAATTGGGTACCAAAGCTTGACAAGGATAACAATGAAACGTTACAGGCTAATTTCTCTCATGAACATAAAGTAAAACTCTAAATCAATATGAACAGATCAAAGCTAGTGATCAAGTGTGGATTATTCTAAGAATTCCAAGTTGAGTTAACAATCTAACATCAAGAAAAAAAAAAAGCCACATTAACAGCTTAAAGGAGAAATTCTATGGTCATTACAACAGCATAGGAAAAAGCAATTGATAAATTCAATACCAACTTGTGAAAACAAATATAGCAACCTAGGAATAAAAGGAACTTCTTAATCTTTTAATAAGGAACATTCAAAATATTTACAGCAAAATTATGCACAATGGTGGCATATTGAATGTTTTCCCTTTGCAATTGAAAATGAGAGAAAGATGTTGGCAATATCACTTCTACTGCTTTACATTTACTAGAGGTCCTTGTGTACAATAAGACAAGAAAAAGAAAAAAAGGTATAAAGATTTGAAAGTAGGAAGTCTAGCTATCATTATTTTGATTCTGAGTATAGAAAATCCAAAAGAATTTATAGAACTGGAAAGCATATATAAATCTAATTGAATATTTCCATGGGAAATGGGACTGAGGTTGTTCCTTGCACCATATGCAAAAATTGATTCCAGGTCTATAATTAAGTAAAAAAAAAAAAGAGCCAAAGCTTCTAAAAGATAACAGATAATATTTTTATAACTTTGGGACAGGCAAAAGTTGTAAATAAGACACCAAAAATATCAAGCATAAAGAAAAATATTTATAAGTATGAACATATTAAAATGAGGAACTTCTGGTTATCAAAACATTCTATTAAGTGAGGAGGCAAGTATGAATGGGAGAAGATATTTGCAATACCTATAATCACCAAAGGGTTTAAATCTAGAATATACAAAGAACTCCTATAAATCAATCAGACAGTTCAATAGAAAATTAGACAAACAGATATCAAATATCAAAATAGTCAATAAATTTATGAAAAGGCACTCACCTCATTAGTTTCCAGAAAATAAGAATTAAAGTCACAATAAGATGTTACTACCCACTGACCATGGGCTTCCTAGGTGGCACTAGTGTTAAAGAACCTGTCTGTCAAACGCAGGAGATATAAGAGACGCAGGTTCAATCCTTGGGTCAGGAAGATCACCTGGAGGAGGGCATGGCAACCCACTCCAGTATTCTTGCCTGGAGAATCCCATGGACAGGAGCCTGGTGGGTTACAGTCCACAGGGTCACAAAGAGTCAGATATGACTGAAGCGACTTAGCATGCACGCATGCACCCACTGACCATAAAAGTTAAAATTAAGACCAATGTAGTTAAAAACTGTTGGAAAGAATACAGAAAAGGAGAATACTCATACACTACTTGTAGGACTGTGAACTGACTCAAACAGGAAGAGAGCTTGACAGTACATGCTGAAGCTGACCTTGTGCATATTCTATGACCTAGCAACTCTGAGTGAGGTGGCTCAGTGGTAAAGAATCCACCTGCCAGTGTAGGAGACATTGGTTTGATCCCTGGGTTAGGAAGATCCCCTGGAGAAGGAAATGGCAACTCACTTCAGTATTCTCGCCTGGGAAATCCCATGGACAGAAGAGCCAGGCAGGCTATAGTCCACAGACTTGCAAAGACACAACTTAGCAACTAAAACAACAATGACCTAGTAATTCCATTCTTAGGTATAGATCCAATGGAAACATGTACACATGTGCACCAAAGGACACTTACAAGAATGTTTTTAGGAAAAGTATTTGTAGTCACCTCTGAACAGGAAGTAATTCAAATGTATGTCAATAGTGGAATGGATAAACTGTATCATTATGGATAAGGGTATCATTATATATGGTATTTATATATAATGTAATACTAATAGAGAAAAATGGGTAAACTACAGTCAACAATATGAATACTGACTCTTATCTAACAATGTTGAAACAATGGTGGGAGAACAAGTCCATACAAAAGAGCATATGCAGTATGATCCCATTTATCTAAAATTTACAAATGGCTATAGCCAAGTTATGGCCTTAAACGTCAGGACAGTGTTTATCTTGGCAGCAGGCTGGAGTGACTGGAAGGACGTGGGAAGGGGGCCTCTGGAACACTACTAACGCTCTGCTTATCACCTGGGTGGTAGCTGCCCTGCTCTGTTACCTTTTCAATAATTCATCAAGCTGTCCAATTCTGATTTGTGCATCTTCCTGTATGTATGTCAGAGTCAGTAAAAGAGACTTTTTTTAAACAGTCACAAAAGATCACTTGTAGCTCTTTAAAATACACAGATCTTTGAGGCTCATGGAATGTCCAGAAGTGACTTGCATATTTAAAAGTCACCAGTAATTTCAGCCTGTACTTGAGGTGAAATACTTCATGAAACATTATGGATGCTTTTCCTTCTACAGATAGTCACAGCTGAACTACTTGCAGACCTATCTTGGAGTCCTATTCAAAGAGCAATATATTTTTTTAAACTACTGTGTACACATCAGTAATATCGGTATCAGTGTAAGGGTATTCACTCCATAAAGGAAAAACGTAGTAACCAACAATCAGCAACTCACCATGGGGAATACCTCATCATCACTGACCAAAGGGCTGGTTACTTCTTTGGTCTGAAACGGCAAAGCCGGCAGTGGAGGTGTGGCACTTCTGCTTGGCTCACGATCGTGGCTAAATCTAAGAGAGAAGGGCTCGGTGTCATTACTGCTATCAAGGACACCTGCTTATTTATGGAGCTAAGAATTTAAATGTCTCAAATTTCTAACTGTGAGGAAAGCACAACAAAATATTTGGGCTTGTTATCTGGGTATTACTTTGAAAATAATTTTGCTAACAACTTCGATTCCACTTAAAAGACTTAGAACAATTAATAATGAAGCAGGAAACTTTCATAACTGTTAAAAATATTCTGCCATTCTTATTGCCTATATGGTTTCTCTTTCTGTGTTTTACTGTTTTGTCTCTTTGCTATTTAATTAAATAACATTAAACCAATTTGAGAAAAATTTCGAACAGCTACCACGGCTGCCCTTGACAATTCTAAATAGATACTCTTTTTCTATTCTCATTTTACTTAACCTCACTGGCTTTCTTAACATAATCATTCTTCTCTGTTTTTGACACTAGAATAAGTCTCTGTACAATAATAATAATTCTAATTTCTATAGAGCTTAATAATTTATAGTATGTTTTCAATTTACATCATCTCCTAAACTCCTCCACACTTAGTTGTATGACCTTGAGCAACAGGTAACTATATCTACCTGTAACTTTTTTTCATTTATAAAGGGTTGTTATGAGAATTGAACTCCACAGTTTGATGAAAAGCACAGTATAGAATTTGTTGTTTGTGCCAAAATATAGGGTAGAAGATTAGACTGAATAAAATGCCAGTGGGATTTTAAATTTTGGTGTGCTGACTAAACAAATGAATAATAAAATAAACAAAAAACCAACTTACCCTAAAATTTTACACAAAAAGGTCCTAACAGTATGGGCTGTTTGGAACTAAATAAGTATCTTCTCTGAACATTAATTCATGAAAATGGGGTTTAATCAAAATCATCAAAGACCATGGAAACATAAAAATCCTTTCAATGTATTTATTTTTACTAACAATTCAAATTCTCTACAGGTATTAATTAACCATTTTCAAAGTCTTCATATTTTAACTTTACACCATTCAAAAAATTTACATTATTTTCTCTGTTCTTATCCAAAGACTATCTATATAGACTTCTTTTATTATGCAAACATTTTCAAAGCTATGCATACAAATAGCAATAAAAGTTAAGTGAGACATCTGTAAACTAGTATATAAAAACAAACAAAATATGCTTTCCATTTTTACTTATCTTGAAATAGATCTTTTTTTTAATCCATTCTTCCAAACCATAATTACCATGGAAACAGAACAGCAAATTAAACTGAAATAACATGGTTTATGATGTGCAAAATAAAATGAAACATCCCACAATTCAAGTAGAATTATAACAACTGCCTTGTACATCTGCATAGAATCTTCAGCTGAACCTTTTAATCTGAATGAGTCCATCTATACTTCAAAGCACAGTGGAAAAAAATAAGATAATTATAGAAGTGGTTCAAGAAATATACATCCCTCTGTAATCTCAATTATACAGAGATTTCAGGGAAAGTATTATTTGCCCTAAATTATCTAAATAATTATCTCAATTATCCATTTTGCTTTGGATGTATAGATACAATTTTATGATCTTAATTACTAAAATTTATATATGAACATTTTCTTTATTGTAAGATCAATAAAGTGCAGAGAATGAAAGGAAAGACTACATTATGAAGCAAAGCACTTTTGCTTTAAATCATCTTTGTATCTGACAGAAAAGTTCTTCTTCTAGATTATAGCCATTCAAATACTTCATAAAACCACCTTGCAAAAAAATGCTAAGTATATCAATTTAAAAGCTATCTTAAAAATTATTTCAGAAAGCTTTTACTACCATCTCATAAGCTGGTCTGTTCAATTAGCTTTTCCATAGACCCTATTCCAAGGCCCCTCCTTACTTGGCCAGGAGGGCAGGAGCTGGCGTCTTTGTTGGAGAGAGCGCTGCCCAACTCGAGCAGGCTTGAGAGCCAAGTCAACTGCACAGGTTACAGGGCTGTCCTGGCCCTCCATTAAGTTTACCAGCCTCCCTGGGCTACATACAGTGTGAAACGGGATCCCTTCACAAACTAAGCTGATTTACCACTTCTGGCCTCCCCTTCTAACACTCCACAGGACACTCCCTTATTCCATGCACTACCCATTATTTCCTAGCCTGGAACTCTTCAGTTCACTATGTTTTTCTCCTAACTGAGCAAGACCATGGTGCAAAATGGACTCAGCTTGCTGTTTTGCTTCCAGGTAAATAACTATTCATTCCTTGACAAGGGATCCTGTAGAGTGATTATGACAAACCTGACTTTGTGGTGTTTTAGTATTAGAAACTTAATTTGCTGACTAGATCTGAAGCAATGTTGATTAGCTTGTGATTACCAAAATCTTTCCAATACATGATATAATTCTTAAAGCCATATATTCAGTTTTAAGTATGAACTGTATATAGAGAGAAAACTCCATACACTACAAAACTGATTTGCCATTATAATTAGTTATATATTAATAGTTCTGGATACCACTATTCCAAGTTAGCTTGTAAATGATCCTTAAACTTCAAAACTCTGACTTAATTCTAAAAGCGTTGAAAACATTTCCTACCTCATTGCCAGATTCAGTTTCACCTCAGTCACTAGCCTTGTTCGTGTGTTTCTGGCCCCATCACACTGCTTGCAGGATCTCAGCTCCCTGACCAGGAACTGAACCCGGGCCACAGCAGTGAAAGCCTGGAATCCTGACCACAAGGCCACCAAGGAACTCCATTAAGTTTTTTAAAGTGCTGAATAACTTTTTCATTGGAAAATAAATCCTTTCAAATATCCTAAAATGCTTCACATTTTAAGTGGATGAGCACAAAAATCTTATCACTTCTAACAGGAGTGAAAAACAACAAAAACTTAGTTAACTTCCAAGTAGACAAAAGATTATTTTAGTAATATATTATACAAATCTTCCTCAGGCAAAAGCAAGAAGGGGTTAAAAATTAGACTACAGACTTCAAAATGTTGTGGAACATTATGTTCATATACCTTTATCTAAGAGCTTTTTCCTTTCTAAAATACTTTAATAAGACCTTATTGCATTATCCATTGATATGTAAATATGACTGTGTTTTTTGATTATTTTCTTCCTAATAAATACATAGAGCTTTTAGTATTTGACTTCACTGAGCTGTGCTGTGAGGGAAGGAAAGGACACTGCCTTTTACACTTGCTAAAATTAATAGATATGTGCTTTACAGGTCTCCACCAGTGAGTTCACAGTGTCCTTGCCTCTCAACAATTCTTTCCCCATAGTGGGTTTTACATGGTACTAATTTATTCAGAACATTTGAAATGCTGTTTTCTTTTTTAAATCAGGTCACTGGAGAACACTGAAATCAGACAAGCCATTAAAACAAATTTAATGAAACTTTCAACAAATGAGACTGGCAGGACACAGGGCTCTGCGGTGGGAACCGTCGCCCGAGCTGCTTGTTAAGACAGTCTCCTGCTGAGCACTTTACCTCTTACACTGCTCCGTGTACCCTAGCGCCTTGCTTCTGTTAGGCACTCAACACATTCTGTACTGCCCAAGCAAGCCAAACAATGAAAACACTCTTTAAAAAAACAGGAAAAGGCAGAGCAACTGTCTTTTTGTTTAAACAATAACATCTAGTACCTTCACCTAAGGCTTTCCAAGTTATTCCCAACAAACAAGAATAGGAAACAATGTTCTGCATTAACAGGGGTGCAGTACAGACCAGTGGCTGGAGAAGACATGGTGAAGACCCTTCATAACATCACCAGGGTCCTGTTTTTCTCTTACAGAGAGAAAAACTAGATAGAGGGGGTGGGGATGTGACCCATGGAGAAATGAATCCTTGTGGAGAGAAGCACTTTGTAAAGGGTTTATTCTATATTAGAAATTATATTCTTACCCCCAAAATCAAGGCTAGCTTCTTCTGGACAGACTTTCAGTCACACTGGCCAGTCAGCATGGGGACACTCACCAGACAGCTGCCCTCTGGCTGGGGCGCACGCCCCTCACCCTCCCCACATCCTTTGGACTCCTGCTGCACCACCCCTGGAGCAGGCTTCTCTCATTCCCTCCCCTGACCACCTGAAGGGCGATTGGCTCAGCACTTCCGGGTGCCTGCTGTTTCTTACACTGCGTTAGAACACATCCTTCCGGCACACACAGGGCTAGGGTGGTGAGAGCGGGAGAGGATGTACTACACGCACAAGGATGCTGAGCAGACGTGTCGAGCACGGCCCCTGGACTTATGGACTGTCTAGAACTGGGCTGCTTGGTGAGCCGGGCATCACCCTTCCCCAACAGCATTATCTTTAGAGGAAATGTCAGATTCAGCCATTTGTTTATCCACCAAAATATACTTTTTAGGTACTGGGAGTTGGAGAAGTATTCATATTATTGGAAATATTAACAATTTTGTTAGAATAATAATATCAATGATAATGTCTAACATTTAGGGAATTAAACATTTTACAAAGAAATAGGTTTTCTCCTATAATCCTCAGAAAACCCTTATAGCTATTATCCCTGCTTGTCAGATGGGAAGATAAAGTTTAAATATTTGAATTCCCCAAAGCTGCAAGTATTAATTATTTGTATGTGAAGTTTTCATGCTAAGTATTATGAGCTTTTAAACAAAAGTTGTATTGATGTTAGGTCTGGACCTATTGATTCACCATTTCTCAGCACCATGGAATGTTAATAAACTTGATATCAAATAAGTTTGGGGAATATTGCACACCATACCTGTTCCTGGAAACTCACAAAGTAATTAGCACGTTAATGGCTTTGCAAAATCCTGTAGAAAAGAAACTTATTTGTTTTGCTGAGCATTTTCCCAGTACTGGAAAATGGTGAAAGGACTCCAGAGACAGTTCTGGCTCCAAACATATTTTATTAAAGTTGAAGAAATTAGTCAAATGTTAAGGCTGATGTATTTACTTAAATTTGAAAGTAAGACATTTTAAAGAGCCTGGGGATAATGTAGGCAGCAGGTATTGATTTTCCACATGCTTCTCTTCACTCAGAAAAGACCTCTCTTACACATCCACAGGTTCTTTCCTATGAAAAGACCACAGTTTGTCACCACTGCTGGAGTGTCAGTATAAAGTGTACATACATTTGAAGTTAAGCCAGACATGCTATCTTCCTGTATTCCTACATAAAAAAAGAGATTACTTTTGCATATTCTGTATGCCACATCAGGTTCTAAGAAAGTTCTGAACTGACAAAAATTCATTTTAACAGTCTACTCAATTCACTGTTATCCTTTGAAAGCTACTGAGACCATAGAGTTTCATGTATCAGTGTATTCTAGACTATGGAATTGTCCCCATAAACAAATTTTAAGCAGCTGAAGGGAAAGTGTATAAAATTACAATTTGATTATTTAAAAACAAATTTCACTTGAATGTTTGTACATTTATATCCTTATGTAAGTGGAGCCAGCATACCCATCTTCATTTTTACCCCACTTTTATTTGGCTTTGATAGGCATACCTTCCTGCTTCTTCATAGGTATTTTGATGAGCCCATGTTGATTTTCCACTGGCATGAAGTTTTGCGAGATCATTTCGGAGCCTTTCATTCTCGTATTCCAGTTTGTTAATAGATGTATGCCTTGAATGTTCCCTGTTAGTGAAGTCTATACTCTAGAGAATAAAATAAACTATCATTGAAAAAATTGTTACTTACAAGTGATGCATGTTTTCTGTGCATTTGCACACATGTTGGAAAGACCCTTTCATGTAAGGTGAGGCGTGTGACTTTACTCCTGTGTACCTCCTAAATGCCTCTCTTCACCCCCCACCTCCTCACAATGCAGGTCCTCAGTGACGGTTGCCACTGAACACTTCACAAGGAAAGGGATGTCTGTGCTCCAGCACAGAAAAGGCTCACTGCCTGCATTACTGTTCTCCATAGCTAGAACAAATTGCTAGTTTTAAGACTTTCTGTGTTAATACTGTATGCCTCCTAGTGCTGATTAGTAATGGAACCAGAATTAACATATCTTTTAATTTTAAAAGATTTTTTTCACATTAAAGCAATATATGTCATTATAGAAAATCACCTATCAACCCCTCACTGTTGGATGATATGAAAAATTATATATTAACTCCATATGATGGCAGTCTGATTCTGGGCCATTCTATACCAGGATCACTAGATCCTGGATGAGACTGTGCCAACACCACACAGTCTAGAGCAATGCAGCATCATGAAAACATTTCACTGTCTGGTATGGGCAACCCAATGGTTAATGTAATAGAAGAATAAGAAACAAATTTAAATCACAACATGAAAAATTTAGAGCAAGATTAAAGATTTCTGATGCTCTTTTAATTAAATGCTGTAAGAAGTTTTTTAGGGAGAGTCTAAACTTTTCTTCTCACAAAATTTTTAAAAAACAGGATATATTTTGACATGAACACTCATGAAAATGCTTTAAATAACCCCATGAAGTCCTTTATAATAGAACAATGATTTGAATACCCATGAATTATGTAGTTGCTGATTAAACAATAGTTCTCTGCTTTCAGAAGAGTAATATTTTAGTACAAAAAGCATAACATGAGTAAAATATCTTTTTGAAGCTCCAATTTTCTATGTTTAAAAGCTCGTAAGACTATAGATGACTATGGCTTAGAACTGTCATTTTTAAGTTTCTAAATTTAAGGCTTTGAGTGCCATTGCATATGGGCTGGCATGTGATAAAGTCACTCAAAAATTTTTGACTAATTTCACATGTAAAATTATTCATATACTATATTAATATAAATATTGATAAATAAGAATAGAAATGTATATATTAAGCATTAAAAATGCTCACCTGTTTTATGTTTTGCTTCAAAGGACAAATCTGTTCATTAAAACTTCTGTTTACTGCCTAATTATTACGTGTGTGTGTTAGTCACTCAGTAGTGTCCGACTCCTTGAGATCCCATGGAGAATAGCCCAGCAGGCTCCACTGTCCATGGACTTCTCCAGGCAAGAATACTGGAGTTGGTTGTCATTCCCTTCTCCAGGGTATCTTCCCGACCCAGGGATCAAAACTAGGTCTCCCACACTGTGGGCAGATTCTTTACCATCTGAGCAACCTATACTATACTTTTATAGAAGTTTATAAATCTTTACAAAGGTCTACTTTTGAATGGAGAAAAAAATGCTCCAGGAGGTCAAATGTTCTCAAAACAATATTGGCCAATGTGACCTTTGGAAAAGAAGGGTCATTTAAGGTATTTCTCTGCTTGTTAGGCCCTTGCCTTTAGTATATGTTAACTTTTTGCTCATTTGAGATATACTAGTACAGATAAAAAAGTCATCTATAATCTGATTTAAAGAAGACAGGATTGCTTATTCTAAAATTTGAGCCCATTTGTGATAAATATAAAGAAGGCAGACCTAATACAATTTTCTTCTCCAAAGGAGAACACTCATGGGCAGATCTGTTTGAAAAACAATCTTGGAAAAGATTCAAAATTTTACTCCTAAAAAGACATCTCCTAGTAAAAATATATAACTCTTGATAGTCTCCTGCTCTGTTACAATTTCATTCAAAAATTTCCTATAAAATTAGATTTCACCTGTGACTTTTCGGCCCAGTGTTGGCTTCAAGTATTTAAGAATGATAGCAATGATTTTTTTAAAAAGCCACAATTTTCTAAATGTACCATAATCAAACAAATGTTGTAAGTATGACCTGAAAGAATTACACAGGTGATGGATTTATACAATTTGTATTTAAAAACATTTTCCATTTTACTGGATAGCATTTTTGGTGCTCTCTCATTTCATTTTTTTTCTAAATACTTTTCCAATGATTTCAAAAATATATCATCCAGTAGATGGTTATCATATGAAAAAAGGCACTGATTAAACTTTACCTATGTATTGTTGATGGGTTCTTTTTACAGGCCCAATCAATTTCTTATTTCCTACCCCCACCTCCCAAACTTTAAGGTTTCATAGTTTTAACTGACTTTTCTTCTTGAAATGGTGAAACCTCATGCTGTCTGTTTACTTGGACACACAGTTGGGTTACTGAATTGTCTGAATGATAGTATTTTATGAGTACTTTTTCTCTTAAATAATAGTTAGACTAACAAAGTATTTCTACAGAAGGGCTGACTTTAATCATGTTTTAAAATTAGTATATTAATTTACAGCATGTAAATGAATGTTTTAGATGCTTAAAGTTAGTCACAAAATTGTGTCCAACTCTTGGTGATCCCAAAGACTGTAGCCCACCAGGCTCCTCTGTCCATGGGGATTCTCCAGGCAAGAACACTGGAGGGGGTAGCCATTCCCTTCTCCAGGGGATCTTCCCACCCAGGGATCGAACCCGGGTCTCTTGCATTGCAGGCAGATTCTTTACCAACTGAGCTACTAGGGAAGCCCTTTAGACTCTTATGAGGGTACTAATTTTTTATGTTGTTATTTTATTTAGCAAACTGTATGGATAGTGAAAGGCCAATTAGTCTTAAAAATTACTGTAAGTTCTGAGTTCTGACTAAATCTAATTTTATAACACCTTCCCTAAGTGAAAGAAAATTTAACAAATACAAATATAAGTCTAAGTAAATATGGAATCACAAAAAAGCCTATCATGATAAACCTGATTCTTTGTTAATTACCCAGGAGCAGAATAAAGATAAACCGCTCACTTTTCTCTATATAGTCAAGCTTTTGCACAAATCCATGGAAAACATCTTTTTAAAGGCAACAAACAAACAAAAAAACACCAAAAAACATCCAAATAAGCCAAAAACCTCTTGCTAATTCTGGCCTTAAATATGTCACTGAGACCAGAGTAAAACTTACATGCCAGGTGGTTAGTTCCATTAGTAAACTCTGCAAAGGAAAACGGGGGTTGTCACAGCCCCAGGTGTGCAATAGGTAAAGGACTGAGTGCCAGGCTGCTGTTTCTACTACTGGGTGGGTATGAATTTCAACCTTTTTTCCCTAAGTGTAAATAATCAGGGAGCTTCACACTTAAGCAGAAAAGTTATCAAAGCTCTAGTAATTCAGAAATGACCTACCTTCATATCAGTAACTCCACTTGTCTAGGAAGGAAAACATAATTGTTATTTTAATATTATAGAAATACTACATATTTAGAAGACTTAAAAATAATGATGTAAATATTATGGTTTTTATTGCCCAAGGTAAAATTTCAGCACAAATTATTTAATTATATGCTTACTTATTCATTCCAATTATTTTAGAGAGAATTAACTAATTATGGGATATTAACACATAACAGATATGAATTTTCTTTATGAAATCTTTAAACTAATAAGTGGTAAATAAATGACCTAAGAGATTATAAAAGCTTACAAGACACAAGAGCCACACGGACCTCTTTTTTATTTCTCAGTAGACACTTGAGATTTTTCTCTTAGGACAACAGCTTGACTGTGTCAGTTAGCAAAGCTAATTCCAAATCTTCACATATAGAAAATGGAGAGCAGTTATAAAGTCCGCTTCCTCTATGGGGGGAGCATGTTCAAGATGCCATACCATAGCATAGTATGAAGACCCTGAACTCACCTGTTTCAGGGGCAAACTATAATAACTCCTTATACAGCAACTGCCTATGGGAACAACCTGAAGACTAGCAGAGAAGATTCTACATGTCTAAAGATACAAAGACGGAACCATAACGAGATGAGTAGAAGGGCTGGACTAAGAAGGGTGTAGTCAGAATCACATCCCTGGATCAGCAACTGTCAGACTGAAAGAATACCACCACTGCAGACGTCCTCCCCAAGCAGCAAGGGACCTGAACCCCACATCAGGCTCCCTAGCTTGGGGGTGTTGTCCTGGGAAGATGAGCCTCTAGGATGCCTGGCTTTGAAAACTAGCAGGCCTTACCTTTGAGGAAGCCAGAGGGCTACAGGGAACAGAGATTCCGCTCTTAAAGAACACACACACAATTTCTCATGCTCTGAGTCTCAGCACAGAGGCAGCAGTTTGAGAGGAGCCTGGATCAGATGGACTTGCTCATCTTGGAGCGCCTCCTGGAGAGGGGCGTGGCAGCTAGGACAACCCTGGGGATGGAGGTACTCGTGGCGACCACTCCTGGGAGCTTATTCTGCCATATGGACATCAGCACTGACAAGCACCATTCTGGAGACCTCCCTTTAACCTCTCTGTGCCAGAGGTTACCTGCCCACCAGCTGGCTGGCCCCAGTCCCAGGACTTCATGGACTGAACATTCAGCTGTGCCAGGATCTGGCCCCACCCACTAGAGGGTTGACACCAACCTTGGACTTCATAGGCCCCATGATCAGCTATGCTGGGATCCAGCCCCACCCAGAAGTGGAAAGCAGCCAATACATGAGGCAGTGGCTGGCAGCCACCTTTGCAGGGGGCCAGCCCTGCCAACCAGCATGCCCACAGTAGCTGGCCACGCCACAAGAGGAGGGTTCACACAGCCCACATATGAGGCAGCCCAAGAGCATATAACTCCAGTGAACACAGGGAGTGTTCTGCGGGGCCCCATAGGATATCTCCAACATAAAGCCACTTCTCCAAAATCAGGAATCATAACCAACCTACCTGAAGAAATAGAAAAGAAAATTGGGCAAAATGAGGTGAGAGAGGTATAAATCCATATGAAGAAGATGTAGGATAAGCAATCTACCCAGTA